AATTGAACTAATCAATAGCTTCCTAACAAGCAATAACATAAGATTGTAGAGTACAAGACTCCTATAGTTTTTCGTTTTAGCACCAATCCACCTGTTCTCCCTGTAAATGTGTGAAAATGACTGATGTGTCCTATATGTGTGTAGCTGTGTTGTTCATCCTGGGCCAGATATAACACCCATAGCAAGCAAAAAGAAACAAGAAGACTGAAAAGATACACCAAGCAAACATAAACTAAAAAAAAAAAGAAAAAGAAAAAAAAAAAACACTATAARATTACTGTTAGTGAGTAAGACTTTAGAGGATCAGGGGCACAAGCCCGCTTACTGGACCTCTTACGTGACGAGCTGGCAAAATACCCCTAGTTGGTTGTGCCAAAAAAAACCCCAAAGAAGAAGAAGAAGAACAAAAGGCATTCGGTCTTCGGTCATAATTTATCGCTGACCCAACAGATTTGCACCCAAATTACTAGGAAGTGGCGTGGATATTCTTGAATGGAACAATTAGTGCAATCGGATTAGATTCGATTTTTTCCGGGCACTAAATAGCTGAAAGTAATTTTTTATTAAATTTTTTTATAATTAAAATGGTTTTGTTTCAAAGAATCTCACTTTTTTTGAACAGAACTTTTTTTGAAGGTGTTTGTATATTTTATAAGTGGTATAAATTTTAGTTTCAAATATTCATAACTTTTTGTTCATTCCTATTTGTTATGTAAAAAGGGATCTTGCCAGATTCTAAATACATTTTTCTTGAGAAGTCGGAGAGACTTCTCTGAGGCTGTATTTTACTAGTAAAGAGTTGTACTACAACGTACAATAAATTAAAATTTCATTCCTGACTGACCAAAAAAAGTTATGGTACAATTTTCTTGAAACAAAACTAAATTAATTATAGAAAATTAACAAAACGCTAAAATCGTCGTTTTTTTTTTAATTTTTGAGTAAACTAATGAACGGATTTTAATATAGTTTATCTGACATCATAGGTATTTTTAATACTTGAGAAAAAGGATAAAACTTTTTTTCATTAGCATCAACGGTTCAACAGTTATGCACAAAAAAACGGGCTTTCGCACTTTCTTTAATTATTTATAAATAATTGTTTATAAACAATGTTACCCAGCCGGAAATCGAGCACAAACTATTGTCTCAATATTCTGACATCCTTCCGAACAACTTCCAGTAATCTTTTACCTTCATATTTTAGTGCCCGAAACCGGCCTTTTAGAGTCTAATCCGACTGGACTCAAAATACGCTTCAGCCCGGTTTCAGATACAAACCAATATTTATCATGGGCCAAAATAACATGTGACAAAAAATAACAGACACTTGGAACAGGTACGAGCTTGGAACAGTCACACATGGAACCGGTGACTGAAAAATACTGGTTTGTGTCATCCCTAACAAGAACCGTGTAAGCGTTCAAGCAAACCATCTCTGCAGACGCAAGCCATCATCACGGTTCTGATGCGCATCAGAATAGTGTAAGCGTTCAAGCAAACTACCTCTGAAGATGCAAGCCACTCGTGCTTGCGAAACGTCAAGAAGAAATTTTATTGTATGACGGCCTAAAAACCCGAAAAACTCACTAGTTTCAAATCGAACAGTTAAATGTGAAAAAATCACTTTACTTGTGTGATAAGCCAAAACGGATTAAGTTGAGAAGACTATTCTGATGCGCATCAGAACCGTGTAAGCGTTTAAGCAAACCACTCGTGCTTGCGAAACGTCAAGAAGAAATTCTATTGTACGACGGCCTAAAAACCCGAAAAGCCCACTAGTTTCAAGGAATGGCGTCGAAAGTCTATCTCTTTTGATATTGGATTTGAGTTAAAAAATTCTATTTGCTGCGAGCAAATCGGATAAAATACTCTTTAAAAGTGAAGATCCCATGCACTGTTTCATCCGCTTCAAATGATGCTCAGCTTTTTTGCTTTGAGCGAGGCACAGTTGAAGAACGTCTGGGTGACACTAGACACTGTGTTGAGTTGTTTCCGCTGTGTCCGAGTTGATGAGTTATAACTCATTTATTAAAGTGGATTACAGCTTTACAACACCCGGGAGTGAAATTTTAACATCCACTGTTTGTGTTCACATAATGTTTATCCATTACCAGACCCTCTAATACTCAATCTAGACCCTAATAAAAAGAAAGTTGCCCATCTTAGCACATTCTTTGTGCCAAAGTGTCGAGCAGTTTATTCGAAATTGAGAACTAATGTGGTTACAGATGGCGTTCGGACGCAACAACGTGTTCCGGAATCGCAACTCATGGGGTCCCGTTTCTTCATGCGGCACCGTCGGCCTTCCGAGGCCAGATCCAGAAGAAGAGCATACGGAACGAATGGCAACTGCTCAAATGAGGCAGTTGGATCCTCTGAAAGAAGACCTCGCCGATTGGCTCAACAAAACCCTTGGTAAGTGTTTTTGTTTCTTATGTTCACATGAGCGTTCGATGGGACAAAAACATGAAAAACAACAGCTGTACAAATTCGCGCAATAAGGATATTGAATATCGCGGGTGGGTGGGTGTTTGCGAGAAAACATCAAACACAATGCACATAAACAAACAATCAAAACAACCGCTTAGATTAGCGGGCATTTGGCATTGGCAACTGGAGCTATTTGACGGTAAAATTGATTTTCGAGTGTTTTTCCTTAAAGCAACCCATGACCATGACCGGCGTCATGGGCGGGCTACGCAAGAAGAAGAAAGTGATTAATTAATGTGGTAATTAAGCAGAATGCCGTACTTTGAAATAGCATTAATTCAAAAAGTGTCGGTGCGTACCAAACGGGTTTATCTACGGGCGCGGGAAATGTAACGTAACTTCCAAAGGAAATCGCATTGCCGAAGAACCTGCCATGTTTAATTGGTGACTATTAGATGAATGACACTCAAGCAACAGGTCATGTAACAGAAACATCAACTTTCAGGTTTTTCAGCGTCAAGTGTCTGCTATAGACTGTGAGAATTTCCAGCCCCAATTTGCTCTAGATTAGGAGTTCTGAATTTTTAGCGGAGAAGGTGCACTTGTGCGAATACGCACTGGTTTTTAGACCATTTTTTGCAAAGTTGCCGAACATCGAAAATTTTATGCGATTCTCTTGATATATTCAGCAGTTTTCCATTCAAGTGTCTTCTATAGATGGCAAAATTTTCACGTTGCTCCAAGAAGGAAAGCGTGCAGTTGTGCCAAAATTCGTTTTTTTTTCGGGCTACGTTTACAAAGCGGTTGAAATCAGGACCTTTTGCGATTTTTTAAAAAATTTTCGGTATTTCCAGATTCAAATAGTTTCTAGAGCTGGAGAAAATTTGAAGCTGCCGCAGGGCCCAAAGAGAATTTGGAACTATTGTAAAGATAAATGGAATTTGTGCATTTAGCATCAAAGCTAAGAAAAAGCAGATTTTTCGCGATTTCTTAAAATCTTCAGTATTTCACAGCCTTCTATAGATGGCAAAAATTTCAAGTTACTTCTTGCTCGGGATTAAAAGTTACGCATTTTGAAAGAAAAAGCTTCAGTTATTCCAGAGCAAAGCATGCTGTTTTGGGGCAATATTTACAAACTTACGAAAAATTTGGTTTTCGTGCGGTTCTTTCGAAAATTTCCGCATTTTCACATACGACCGTCATCTGTAGATGGAAAATTTCAAGCCGCTACTTGCTCTAGATTAGAATTTATGCCTTTTTAAAGTACAGCGTGCATTTGTTCTCCAATTTTTTTTTAAATTTTAGTGTTTTTACATTGAACTGTCTCCCATAGGCGGCGACATTATTAACATCAGTCTTATTTGCTCACAAATTGATTTGATCTGATCTCTTGATAGCAAAAATTTCAAGTTTTTAAAGGCAAGGATGCCGTTAATCCAAAGCATCCTTTTTAGTGCAGCTAACAAAGTTACGAAACGTTTGGATTGAGTGAGATTATTTCGAAAATTTCCGCATTTTCAAATTAAACTGTTTTCTATCGGTGGGGAAGTTTTGAAGTCTCTACTTGTTCTAGATTTGAAGTTATGCAATTTCAAAGAAAGGGTGCAGTTGTCTCGAAGCATTCATTTTTAGGGCAACCTTTACAAGGCTGTAGAAAATCAGGATTTTTTGCGATCTATTTCTAAAGTTCACCAACTCAAAACTCCAATTTCTTCTATAGCTATAGAAAATTTTAAGCTGCTGCAGGCCCCAATGAGAATTTGAAAAAATTGCAATTAAATTGCATTCTCGGACTAGCCACTTACTCTATATTAGAAGCTATACTTTTTTTAGAAGTGAATTTTATTGAAAATTTATTTCTCCAGAAAAATTTCCACTTTAAAGTTCTTCCTATACATGAAGAAAATTTGAAGATATTTTCCTCCCGCGATGAGAATCTGTGAATTTTGAAGGCAACTAACAATTGTGTAAAAACGGCTACTTTTGGACTAACTTTTATTAAGGTACTATATATTATTCAATTGTTGCTTATCGATAGTAAACTTTTCAAGTCGCTACCTGCTCTAGATTAAAAGTTACGATAAAAATAATGAGATTTGTGCCAAAGGGTTAGTTCTTAGGCCAGCATTTACTAAGTTGCCAAAAATACTAGTTTTGTACGATTGTCTTAGAATCTTTAACATTTTCCGATCCCAACATCTTCTATAGCAGGAGAATTTTTGAAGCTTCTGCAAGCTCCCATTGAGAATTTGGGCATATTGAAAAGAAAAGTCGTATTCGCACAAAAGCGCCCATCTCCTACTCGCATTAAATAAGTTACTAAAAATCAGATTTTTTTCTACTTTTTTTTCTACTAAGTTACTAAAAATCAGAAAGAGAGCTTCTTCAATTTTTCAGTACGTTCGCGCTCTAGTTACTTCTATCGAAGAAAACAAGTTTCAAGTTGCTACTCGCTCTAGATTAAAAGTAATGATTTTTTGCAAACGCGTTTGTTTTTCGGCCTGAATTTATTGAGTTTGCAATAATCCTATTTCGTACGATTCCGGTAGAATCTACTTGGGGCTACTTTTGGACTAACATTTACTAACTTAATAAATATCAGAATTTTAAGGATGTTTTTGTTGCATGCAGATTCAAATGTTGTCTATAGATGGTGAACTTTTTAAGTCGTCACCAGGTCTAGATCAGAATTTGCGATGTTTTTTAAAAGTCTTAATTTTAAGGAGTGCATTTACTAAGCTGTTGTGATTGTCTTACATTTTCGGATTCCAACAGCGCTTATAGCTGGATAAATTTAAAGCTGCTACACGCTCTCAATCAGAATTTGGGCATATTGAAAAACGTCCTGTTCTCGTACTATGATTTTTCAAGTTAAAAAAAATCTGATTATTTTGCGATTTTGTTCAATCTTTCAGTACTTTCACACTCTAGTGTTTTCTACAGATGGCAAATATTTCAAGTTGCTACTTGCTCTGGATTAGAAGTTCTGCATTTTGAAAGGAAATGGTGATGTTCTAAAGCATCCCGTTTAATGCCAACATTTACAAAGTTACTAAATATTTGGATTTCGGACGATTCTTTTGAAACTTTCGTTATTTTCACATTCAACGATTTTTTATATGCGGATTAATGTTGGTCGCAATTTGTTTTAAATTCGAATTTATGCATTTTTAAGGGAAGGCGGACGCCTTGTATCAAATAATTCCTGTTTAGGACAACGTTTGCAAATCAGTATATTTTGCGATTTATAAGTATTTTCAGATTCCAATATCTCCTATAGTTGGAGAAAAATTCAAGCTGTTCAGACCCCTATGAGAATTCGGAAATATTAGAAAGAAAGGACATTCTGTGCAAAAACGCTCATTCTGGTACCAGCATTCCGCAAATTACGAAAAATCTGCTTTTTTTGCGATTTGCTCAATTTTCAAGTTATGCATCTTTAAAGCAAAGCGTGCCGTTATCGTTTGATTTTTGAAAATGGCAGTATTTGCACATTCAGCTGTCTTCTATGGATGGATCCATATCATATAGATATGATCAATTTCACTAGTATTTGCGCAAAAACGCCCAGTCTCGGACTAGTATTTTATAGTTATAGTTAAAATATTTTTTTCGATTGTCTTCCTCAAAAATCACGCGGCCACATGATATTCAGGACTTCAACGGCCTTCAAGCATTTGGATTGAGGGAGACGTTTACAAACTTTTACGCAAAAAATTCAGGCTTAAAACCCTTTCGACTAACGGGTTTTCAAGTGCTTGAAGAAGTTGCCAATAAGGTCGATTGAACAAGTCCAGCCAAATACGGCAATTGGAAGGATGTTATGGCATTATTTATGCGATTTTGCATGTGTGTGCAATGTTGCGTGCCCAACGCTTGTTTAATAATGTTATTACTCCCATCTGGTTATCGCAACTAGCCCGTTTTCGTCTTCAGCTTTATCCTCAGCAGTTTAATCGGTTTTGGTGCGCCCCTGGTTATGGGTCATACAGAGTCCACAAACGGCATTAATGTGCTCATTGTCAAGCCCGATTTTGGGTGCGGTCTTGCATTCGAGGAACGGTAGAGTGCACCCATTGTTGCTCGATTAGAAAAACACCATTCGGCTTCAGTCTGGGCGCCACCTAATCTATAGGGTGGCTGATGTCCATCAGTTTTCCTCAGGCAACCAGACCTTTAATGCAAAGTCATTAAAGTAGTACCAGAGAAGCATGGGAGAACGCGACCATTTCCTGTCGCATCTGTTTTTTAACAGTAGCATCGAAGACACATGGGCGAGGCTAGCGTACAATGAACTTCCTGGGAATCTTTTTGAACTCCCCGTTTATGCTAAGCAGCCGCCAAGATCAAAAGCCACCTGAGAACAGATATTATCCATTCCTCATATTGCATACGAGATTCTTTGGGTTGGTTGCTTGCTTTCGGGGGCCGCCGCTGATTTTCCATAAACTTTCAATGTCAGCCCGTAAATCTCCGGTTGCCAATCCGATGGGAAATTACCCCATATTTTTCAAATCTGGTCCCATTACGGGGCCGTGCCAGGCACCCCTGATAGTGATTGACTGGTTTTCCTCCTTCTTTCCCCAGAATTATTTTTACACGAAAAAAACCCGTATTTGCCGTTAATTAGAGCAGCGACAGCAAGTCGTTTATTGTTTCGAACTGCTTGAATTAATGCTTAACCCTTTACTGCATGATTTTTTTAAATTAACTCAAAAAAATGCGGCATTTGGAAAAATGTTTATTGATTTATAAAAAAATATTTAAATATATGTCATATATGGGACAACATGTGATTTAGGTTGTAACAGGGGGTCGTTACTCAGTATGAAACCGAATAAAACAGTTCCTTTCTTTGTTCAAACAGAGTGCAACCTGACACTTTGTACAGTATACATATGACTGAAATTTACATTCTGGAAATTTGCAACGATTTCTGCCAGCTTCCTTCCATTCCGGTAAATGATCCAGTCCATCCTGCCGAA